GTGTGTCCTTTTTTAGCGGCTTTCATCAGAACCCTCCGCGCTCCACGCTGGCCTTCTCACCGCCCTTCGTCCTTATGCTGGGAATGTTGATCAGAGTCTGCCATATTGTTACGGAATCCTCCTTCCATAGGTCTTACCACAGTCGTCTCTCTCTTGCCCCGTAAGATCCGTCTTCCCTCTCCCTGGTTCACATATTTCACTCGACCCCTGCCACCTCATCTGTGCCACCCGAGGCGTTATTGATCCTACCCTGCGTTTGGGTGACTAATTTTAGGCTCAAGCCTCTGAGTAAGTGTCATGGTCACACCTTTGCCACATAGACCACGTCTCTTATAATACCTACTGTCAGCCCACTAGCTCCCATCGCCTCCGTTTCTATCCTATTTCTATCTTTGTGGAGATACCACAATTGTTTAGCGCACGTTTGGTCAAAGGATGTGCTTCACTTGTCTCTTTGACGAGTTGTAATATGGTGTTACGAATGGCAAAACTCACCGACGATGCCGGCGAAACATCTGGGAATGTACCAGGTCGACTGTCCGATGGTGGGAATCATGACAACTACTCTGGCAGACGACTTCGGACTAGGTGCGTTCTACTAAGTCCCCCTGACAACAAGAATTAGTTGCGACAACGAGGTCTATTCACACATTCAGTTTGTCAGAATAAATTATGTGAGAATTTGTGTATGGGTATGAGTTTGAGTCTTATACAGAGAATTGCACGGCAAGACTGTTTAAGAAATTATACAAGACATGATGCTAATATACTATAATCATTCACAGAATATTGCTTGATTGAATTGCTTTCTTGCAATGAGCTCTTTTATTTTGTTATTTTTGACATTCTCTATTAAGGATGAGAAGAGAAGCTATTGAATAGTCCGAAGAACGGAATGACACAGAGGTAAATAATGTATTTTAAAGCATATTCTTAGATCTACTACTCTAAGCAGTGCGAAAGGGTGAAGGCGTCGTGTAACCAACAATGTAGAGTTAAGTGTGACTGTGATTAAAGCAAATGCTAAACACCTTAGATTTAGTATTAAATGTATTAAAATATGTATTGGCTTGGGTAAATTTTTGCCGACATGTCTACAATTATTTGGATATTCCTTTTTACAGTCGCAGCTATGTAGGCCGAGATTGTGTACCTGTTGGCCAGGCTTCGTATCCATAAATTCTTCGGGAGAAAGTGAAATTTTGTGACACGTACCGAGTGAATCATCATCTACCATGATATTAATGATAATTTCTGGTATCAAACCATTTATGTAGATAAGCTGAGCTTTGAAGAAACCCTTAGTAGCATACGTTTCATTTCGTTTGATGGATAAGATTAGTGTAATTTGTCTCACCGAATACCGAATGAGAAGGTCCTCTTCGCACCACCTAACTGTCACAAGTCTACGGCAACTCTCCTTCGATATATGGTGGGGCTGATTTACGAATCCCTTCCATCCGCCTTTTTTTAAACGTAATGACAAACCATATAATTGTAGATTCTATGACGTATCATCCGCATCGTCAGTCAGAAGTCCATCCTTAGTACCGAATTAAAATTTGCCATAGTGACGCAATTTCATTTGCAAACCTTTCGCTCTTTTGCTCAGAAGATGGTTTTCAAAACTACCAGTAGTTCATATATATGAAATGTATTTATCCCATTTCGTTTAGGGTAATAGGGAGACTGCTATTTAAATTTCCCCACAAGGATATGATAAATGTTTCTATTAAATTTAACATAGCATTAGATTCCCAAAAGGTAATCTTACTCGGTGTGTACTACAGTTTCGACCTGGCCTAACCGTTAAACCGTTTTATTATCTCCCGTACGTTGTCTTCTAACTCCGAGCGCTCTATCCTCATCTCTCCGCCCTATTCTAATATGCATCTAACTAAATCGTTCTTTGTTCAAATGCCACCTAAGCTTGTTTTACCCAAAATGGATGTAATGTAGCGTAATTACTTCCATTACGGGTTTCAGAATACATTCACAGCTCCTCTGTAAGTCAATCAACACTTCGGCTTTTCGATACCCCACTTTCAATTATTACTTGCTGCACTTAAAAATTACTGTCTAATATCACTGGTTGCCTTTACTTCCTCAATTCAGGGTCTCGTTTACGTCATATTCGAGGATTCAGTTCTATGAATAGTCATGAAAGTATGATAGAATATGCGCGATGGCTTTAGCTAGGACCTCTCTCAAACAGTGATTCTTACGCCTCAGCCTACAGAATCCCCGTCGCCCAGTTATCCACTTTTCGGCCTGCAGCCC